CCTCGCCCTCGCCACCGCCTCCCTCCACCTCACCATCGCCGCCACCTCCGTCCGCCTCACCGTCTCCGCCGCCTCCGTCCGCCTCGCCGTCGCCCCCGCCGCCCTCCGCCTCACCATCGCCGCCGCCTCCCTCCACCTCGCCCTCGCCGCCGCCGCCGTCCGCGTCGCCCTCGCCGCCGCCTCCCTCCGCCTCGCCCTCGCCGCCGCCTCCCTCCACCTCACCGTCGCCGCCACCTCCGTCCGCCTCGCCGTCGCCACCGCCTCCCTCGGCATCGCCGTCGCCGCCACCGCCGTCCGCCTCGCCCTCGCCACCGCCTCCCTCCACCTCACCATCGCCGCCACCTCCGTCCGCCTCGCCCTCGCCGCCGCCGCCGTCCACCTCACCGTCGCCGCCCCCTCCCTCCGCCTCGCCGTCGTCGCCGCCGCCGTCCGCGTCGCCCTCGCCGCCGCCGCCGTCCGCGTCGCCCTTGCCGCCGCCTCCCTCCGCCTCGCCCTCGCCGCCGCCTCCGTCCGCCTCACCATCGCCGCCGCCTCCGTCCGCTTCGCCGTCGCCGCCGCCTCCCTCGGCATCGCCGTCGCCGCCGCCGCCCTCAGCATCGCCGTCGCCGCCACCGCCGTCCGCCTCGCCCTCGCCACCGCCTCCCTCCACCTCGCCATCGCCGCCGCCTCCGTCCGTGTCGCCCTCGCCGCCGCCTCCCTCGGCATCGCCGTCGCCGCCGCCGCCGTCCGCGTCGCCCTCGCCGCCGCCTCCCTCCGCCTCACCGGCTCCGCCGCCGCCGTCCACCTCACCCCCACCACCGCCTCCGTCCGCCTCACCATCGCCGCCGCCGCCGTCCACCTCACCGTCACCGCCCCCTCCCTCCGCCTCGCCGTCGCCGCCGCCGCCGTCCGCGTCGCCCTCGCCGCCGCCGCCCTCCGCCTCGCCCTCGCCGCCGCCTCCCTCCGCCTCACCGTCGCCGCCGCCTCCGTCCGCCTCGCCGTCGCCGCCGCCTCCCTCGGCATCGCCGTCGCCGCCGCCGCCGTCCGCATCGCCCTCGCCGCCGCCGCCCTCCGCCTCGCCGTCGCCGCCGCCTCCCTCCGCCTCGCCGTCGCCGCCGCCTCCCTCCGCCTCGCCGTCGCCGCCGCCTCCCTCGGCATCGCCGTCGCCGCCGCCTCTCTCCGCCTCGCCGTCGCCGCCGCCTTCGTCCGCCTCGCCCTCGCCGCCGCCTCCGTCAGCCTCGCCGTCGCCGCCGCCTCCGTGCGCAACGCCTTCGCCGCCGCCTCCCTCGGCCTCGCCGTCGCCGCCGCCTCCGTACGCCTCGTCTTTGTCGCCGCCTCCGTCCAGCTCGTCGTTGGCGCCGCCGCCTTCCGCCTCAGACTTGCCGTCAGCTCCGTTCGACCTCCCATCGTCGGCGCCTCCGTTG